TTTATTTACTGTAGTAAGTCTAGTTGCAATTTGGTCTGATTGTTTGCATGAACAGGCAAAGAACCTAAGCCACCTAGCTGCTATTAGGTTTTCCTGCAATACCTCTGTACACCTGGATGAATTCAAGTTGAAGTTCCCAATGATGTCTTGAGGTTCCTTCCTTGCCATCTCTCAGGAAAGTAACCTTTGTTCCTTACTTGGAAAGACTGCCATGAACCATGTGACCAAGCAAGGTACCAGGCTAATCTCCAAGGGGCTCTTGTTAGCATCATTCCTTAAAGCTTTCTGGTGACAACCAGAGCCCAGTATGTTAGACATGACATTCCAAAGTCCTTCTTAATAAAACCATAACTGGAAACTGGTCTTATTGAATTCATGCAAAGAAATGTTTTGCCATGACTCACTCATTAAGAATTGCCAAATTCCGGAGGGATCAGGTAGGGAGAAAAATATAATTTACCAAATTGCTTTAAAAATGCTTCCTATATCTGGAAAAAAGTTTAAGAATCAGCAATACTTTCAACAAAAGTTACAAAAACTATATAATTATTTTCAGTTCATTCAGTCCCATAGTCAATTATTTGTTTCTTCTGATTTTTCCTGCCAATATTTCTATAAATTCAGATACTCTAATAGAGTTCTGATAATTTTCATCCAGTTTGAAGAGGGTGATATGAAAATGTCAGAGTCCTTTCCATGGATCCCTCAGAAGATGTAACATTTTTCCAAACACACTATAATAAAACAGCAACTGTCTCTAAATGACAAGGAGAAATTCAAAATGACACGGATATTGATTGATTATAATGCAAATGACATGGAATCTTGTTCTTTCTGAAAAACACAATATTCCACAATATTAAAACTAACAATCAGTTATAACTGAAAGCATATCAGAATCTATTTTAATAATATGCATATATAAATAGAATATAGTTATTTCTTTATTTGACAAAGCTTCCCATGTACCTGAAGTATAAAATTTTCCTTCATAAAGAGAGAAAAGCAAGTTCTTGAGGCATTCCAGGGCCTATTTCTTAAAATTAAAACCCTGGGAAAGTTGGTAAACTGATTTTACCAAAAGATTATATATCATCATCATTATTATTATGAAACAGTATTAGATGTTTATTCTTTCAAAGTGACAAAAGGATATTAAACACAAACAAAGGCAAGCAAAACTTTAGTTCCCACAATTAAGATCACTTTTTAAAAGTAATTAAGTACCTGATTAAAATAACAGAATGTATAATTATTTCAATAATTTATAGAAATTTTGCTTCCCAGCTTCTCTGAGTTCTAAATATTCTTCTGAGTCCTACTAATGACTATGCCAAGTATGGGGGCAGGTTCCTTCTCGAACCCTGCCTGCTACAGTAACTGTTGGGTCCGAGCCCCTCTGCCAGGGGCTGGACCTTCTTGGATGCCTGGTCTTAGATGGAGAAGCCATAAGAAGTTGTGGGTGTATAAGAATGGGTTTGGCTCAGTGGATAGAGCGTCGGCCTGTGGACTGAAGGGTCCCAGGTTTGATTCCGGTTAAGGGCACATGCCTGGGTTGCAGGCTCAATCCCCAGGAGGGGGCATGTAGGAGGCAGCAGGTCAATGATTCTCTCTCATCATTGATGTTTCTTTCTTCCCCTCTCCCTTCCTCCCTGAAATCAATAAAAATATATTTTAAAAAAAGAATGAGTCTTTATTGTAGAAGCCAGTGGCCATATCACCATCAGATAAAACAGTTCTTCACAACAGTCCCATACAGGCAGCCACACACCTACATCTTTCCTACGAAGCAACATCAGCCTCTGCCCACAACTAATATCTGAGCAGTGCACGCTGCCCCTTGTCTCACTGCCTATCCGAGGCACCTGAACTCTCGCTCTTGACTCTCTGGCCCTCCCCTCTCTCAGCCTTTCCTGCACTCCTCTTGCATCATCATCATAAGCAGCAGCAGCACACTGGCTGTCAGTAACGTATTATGCCACTTAGACAAAAGAAGCCAGTTGCCAACAGTGACATCAATCATTTGCGTTATAGAAGGGCACAGTGTACCGTGAGATCGCTGTGGCCTTGCAGCTGTGTAGTCCTTGGACATTCTGATTAAGGTTCCCAGGTTCAGCCCTAGCTGGTTTGGCTCAGTGGATAGAGCATCGGCCTGCAGACTGATCCCAGGTTCAATTCTGCTCAAGGGCACATGCTCAGGTTGCGGGCTCAACCCCCAGTAGGGCACGTGCAGGAGGCAGCCGATCAATAACTCCCTCTCATCATTGATGTTTCTATCTCTCTCCCTCTCCCTTCCTCTCTGAAATCAATAAAAAATATATTATATATAAAAAAGATTCCCATGTCCAGAGTGGCCTTGGCCGTCCAGCATGCTATCAACAAGGCCTTTCACACTCTGCGTTGTCTGGACTACCCGGCGTCTCTGGCATGGTTCCCACACGAGGCAAATACAGGAAAAACTGTTTCCCTTTTAACAGATTGGAAAAGGAGTAAACAAATTCTGTACTAGCTTACTTTGGGTTCACTTCCTAATTAAACTATTCAGATTACCTATAATTTCCTTTTAAGATTTCTCCTCACAATCCTTCTATAATTTTCACAAATCTCCTTATTCATTTAGCTTTAAAACAACTTAATTTCCTTTTCCTTTCAAAAATGCATCTTTATACATCATGCCTTCTATTACTAAAACCATACAATTTTTTCCAATTAGTTAGAATTTTTAACTCTTAGAAACCTTAAATTTTATGTGACAAGTAAGTACTTAACATTTCTCAGATTAGCAATACATTCACATTTTAAAGAGATATAATTCAAATAAAATACATGACATATTCATTAATAGATTCAAACCTATCTTCTATATTCTCTGTAATAAAAATCCAAAAGTAGGCAAACTCAGTATCCTGTTATTTCAAAATACCTAGATATTTAATAATTTTTACTATTTAACCCAGCAAACTCCGAAGTTCTGTTACCAAAGACTTTGGAAAACTGTTTAGGCACATATAATTATCACTAAAAGCTTTATCATAAATCCTTCATTTTAGTTACATATATTTACTATGTCTTAACAGCTTTGAGATTTTAAGCCAATTATTATTACCCAAGGCGTTTTTTTGACAACAGGGGTAACTCATGGGCTTATTCTGCTTTACAAACGGGGAGTGGTCCCCACTGCTCCTTTGCAGCTACTGGAGGGCATGTCTGCATCTGGAGAAAGACTTGGGGGTTATTTCCCACATCTTTCTTTCTGAGTTGTCTGTAACAACATGAAGTCTTGCATATAAGAAGAGATCTTTAAACAACAACAACAGAAACAAGCGAGCAAACACCCGTGCAGTAAATCAATGAATACTCTCAAAAGGCTGGCCTGGGACATTGGCCTTAGAATCGTATGTCACACTAACCCAGCACAGCAAATGACGAGAACTCTCCCCAGCTAAGAGTTTCTGCAATCCCTGCCATGAGCAGCTGGGGCCCCAGCAAAGTGGGAAGTGCCCCATCTTTAAACAAATTAACCCAAACAACAGGGACACAAGGCAACAGTCAACAGAGACATTCCTACATACAATGTTTACAGGCGTGCCCAACCCACAGGCATGAGGTTCACACCTTGTCCTTGTCTATCGATACAGACCCCACAGAATGCCCGGCGTTTAAAAAACCACTGAAGCAGAGCAATGCCTCTTGTTGCAGAGGGATCTGGCTAAGGGCCATCCGGAGCTGACCAGGCTCACCCAGTGAATGCACGCCTTAAGTCCAGGCGAGAGGCAGGACGACACCTCCCATGACACACACAGCACACACAGTACATGCTTCCTCACAAGGAAGCCCAGACAGGAAGCAGCCACTGCTGCTCGTGCCATGCAAACACGCTGATTCCTCCTACAAAAACACTCGATTCCTCCAATCTATGTCTTAGGCGAGAGGACAGGGATTGCTGAGGCTGTGGCCGGGACTCAAAACAGGAAAATTCCTGGCAGCGCTGTAAATAAGGGTCCAGGCCTTGGCCCTGGATCCCCCAGTCCAGGCAGCAAGCGGGGTTCCCGGTATTCACCCAGGAGCCCCTCGCCTACCTCCATTCGTGGTCGCCAGAATATGTAACAGACAATCAGTGGGTCCGGGCTGCCTGTCACTACTTGAGCCATTGAAGCAGAGACAGGACTGAATCCTGTGAGCATTTATTCCAACACTGCCGGCCGCAGGGAGAGCAGCAGTTCAGCCATGAAAGTCTGTTCTGCACCCACCATAAGCTGCTGCTTATATTGGGCAGGACAAGGATTATATGGGGAAGGAGGCAAAGGGTGTGCCAAATGGGCAGTTTACGGTAAGCACAGGACTTACCTTCAAAGGGCTGGCGATTCTGGTGTCTGCAACAAAGTTGTTCATCTTTCCATGCAAATAGGCAGCTCCAAATGATGGGCTGCGCTTCTGGGTGAGCTCCCGGCCCCCAGTGAGAACTGGCAGCCAGGTTAGAATGTGCCTGCCTTAATCAGAGCAGAACTATCACAGTTAACAGAGCAGGGTTGATATTTCTCACAGTTCTCACTGGTTCCCCAACATCCTGTTTCTGCCCTGGCAATAGTACGCTTGAAAGGAGATTCAAGTGGGCGCCAAGGGGGCGCAGGTGGCTCTTTGTCAGGCTTTCCTCTATTTCCTTGGGTTGGGGAAAGAGCAGGAGTTCATGCAAACTACCCGCCCTCCTCCCTGGGTCCTCCGGGCTTGGTGCCATCTCCAGTTCTTTCCCCCTTTACAGCTCCCACGTTGGCTCCTGCTGCGCGTGTGCTCAGAAAAATGACCCTTCCCCCGCCCTCTCCAGTTAATCTGGTGGGTACTGATCCCTGGAGTGGCCCTGAAGCTGTCTGTCCTGCCTAGTCAAGTAGGCGGGATCCCTGGGTGACTGTGAAACTGCCGGTCCTACTCGATCCTGCTTAACCAGACGCCTGGCTCCCTCCTTCCATTAGTGACTGACTCCCTCCTCTGACGCTTCTGTCCACCAGAGCCTCATTGATGAGCAGCTGAGCCACAAGGAGAAGCTGTTCGTCCTGACCTTCGGCACCACCACCAGCGCCCTCTGGCCAGACCCCGTGGATGTCAGCGCCTCCAGGTGAGTGGCTACCTGGCCAGGGTGTTCACTTGGTCATTTTCCTCCTGAGCGTTAGTTTCTTTAGTGCATGATTCAAGCGCAAACCCAAGACCCCATCAGGTAAGTAAACACAGAGAGGCAGCTCACAAAAGCAGAAACTCCAGGAGCCCATCACTTTTGGGAAAGAGTCACCCTCACAAGCAGCCACCAAATGAGAAGACAAGACGACCATGAGACACCACTTCTGTCCAGCAAACTAGGGGGCAGTTTTGTTGCTATTTAGAGAGAGGGCGGGAGGAGCATGGACTGGGAGCCTCCGGCATGTGTCCCACCCGAGGGAACCTGCCACCGAGGCATGTGCCTGACCAGGAGTGGAACCCACAACCCCTTGGTGAAGGGACAGTGCTCCAACCAACCGCGCCACCCCTCCAGGGCCACCTGCTCTTGTTAATAGCGACACAGTATCCCGCTGCATAGATGCGCTACAACCTCACTAGCCCTGTATTTGGGAGTTCCTCGTTTGGGGGAGCAGTGAGAGGGAAGGCAGGTAAGAGTTTCTATTTATACCACTAAGTAAAAACGTCTTTTCCGTGAAGGAAGTATCTTTGACCCCTGCCATGTGCCAGGCACCCTCATGCGCTGTCTTAGTTAGTATTTGTGGCCAGTTCCCATTTTGCAGATGAGGAACCTGTGACTCAGGTTAGGGACGTGCCCCAAGCAGCGGCGCCAGAGTCCAGGGAAATGCAGGAGCGCGGGCTCCCAGGACGGGGTCTCCTCGCGGCACTGGTTGCAAAGAGGCCCCAGCGAGCAGAGAAGGGCTGGGCTCCAGCAGGGCTGGCTCTGAACCCGGCTCTGACAGCTCTGGGTGGCCTTGGCCAGCCCTTCACCTCTCTCATGAGCAGAATGAGGCTGAGGGCACCTGCCCCTCACTGAGTTGTGAGGATGAAATGAAAAGTGAGTGCCTGGCCTGTGGCAGGTTCTCAGTGCAGACAGTGTTGTTGCTGTGGTGTCCACCTTAGTTAGACCCCGTCTCCACTGTCCCAACTGGAGGTGAACTGGAGGTCGTCCAGCCAGCAGTTCCTCACCTCCAGTCACGCCTGGACTGCGTGATGTCCATCATGTCCCTGCCACGTGTTCCATCACTTACTCTGCACCCCTGGCTCAGCTGTCCATTTTCCTCCTATCAACCCCATTTCCTGTGGAAGGAGCTCCCATCAGCACCATCGCTGGGAAGGCCGGAGTCCTTGCCACAACTAGAAAGTGGACAAAACATAATCTAAGGAAAGCACAGAAAATGGTGATGTTAATCCCAGCGTGAGACCTATTGACCAGGAGGTGCTAGGCCTGGATTTGTTCTTTCTCTGTGTAAAAGGGGGACGCACTCTACCTGGTTTGGCTCAGTGGATAGAGTGCCGGCCCCAGGACTGAAGGGTCTCGGCCTCGATTCCGGTCAAGGCATGTACCTTGGTTGCAGGCTTGATCCCCGGCTCAATCTCTCTCTCTCTCTCTCTCTCTCTCTCTCCTCTCCCTTCCTCCCTCCCACCTCCCTTCCACTCTCTCTAAAAGTCAATGGGAAAATATCCTCAGATGAGGAAGGATTAACAACAACAAAAAAGGGAGAGTCAATAGTTATAATAACAAAAGACAGATTTCTAGCAACAAGCTGAGATTCTGGTTTTTTTAGATCAGACTGAAAAGAAATGGAAAGAGCAGAACTCTCTCACCAGCACCATGTGAGGTGTTTAACCAAGAAAGCCTGCGCTGTCCTTTTCCCTGTCACCTGTGGTGTGCGCCCCATCCCCGTGCGGCGGCCTCGCAGCCGCTCCCCCAGAGGCCTCTGAGCGTCCGGGGTTACCGCCAGGCTTCGGGCTGCGGGCTGCCTCCCAGAGTTCGCCAGACCCTCTGACAATAGAGTCACTGAGCTCTGGTCCTAGAGTCGAACCTGTTTGATTCTGTGTTGCCAGTTGGTTAGTATCATCCTAACTCTGAGCCTCAGTCTCCTCATCTATGAAATGGGAATAGAGGCATTCCCTCAGAGAGCTATCCTCAGGCTCAGATGAGCGGGCGCTGGTCCTGGTGGAGCTGTGACCAGGTTGCTGGCCTCCCTCACTGTCTCCTCAGCCTCCAGGAGCTCAGACTCTGGGTAAGGAAGCCGCAGCCGGAAGGAGGCAGCAATCTGCTCCAAGCCCTGAGGAAAGCCTGCACTCGCAAGGGGCTGACTTCTCTGGTGACCATACTGGGAAGCTGGTAGGTGTCCTTTCCTCAGTGGGTAACAGACTACATGGAGGGGCCACGAACGGGGTTAGAAGAAAGAGCATCACGCATGACTGCTGACACGTGCCTGACGGACGGGCCAGCTCAGGGCTGCCAGAGCGGCCAGGCCTGTGCTGTGCCCCGCCCGCTCCTCACACGGGTGACCTGGGACACGGGTGGTTGGCTGGACCCTGCAGCCCTGCAGATGTTCCCTGGAAATGATCACTTTGCTCGGAAATGTCCTCATGCCAGGTGCCCCCTTATCTTCCTCCGTCTTCTCCCCAGCCCAGACCAGCCTCCTGAAATCCTGTCTGACTACATCCAACAGGCCACCCTGGGCAGGGGCCTCCACACCCACCTTGTCACCTACCAGTGCGAGGACCGGGTGCCCCCCGTAAGTACCCGCGGCTTTCCTGGTGAGGGGCACCCTGGGCGACCTGCGTGGACAGGCCCCGAGCTGTGGGCCAGAACACGTTCTCCCCCGGGTCGGAGGGGACGTGCTGGAGGCTGGAGAGGCTGGGCAGGAGAAAGCTGTCGGAGTATTGGCGGGGCCTGGAGGGTGACCGCGCCATCCCGCAGGCTGTCCTGGGCAGGAGAAAGCTGTCGGGGCCTGGAGGGTGACCGCGCCATCCCGCAGGCTGTCCTGAAGAACCTTGCGGAAGCTGTTGGGGGCCACTACCACTGCTACACCCCAGAGTCAGAGGTAAGCCACTGCCTTCTGCCCTCACCCTGCCGCTGCCAGGGTGCCTGGGGCCCAGGGGCCAGGGCAGGCCAGGCTGTGTACTCGCTTCCCTCTGGCCCCAAGCTCATGGGCTTACACAGGTCTAATCAGGTGCAGATGAATGTGTGGGAAGAACAGGAAGTCACAAGAGATCCTGTGGTTAGATGTGTGATGAGCTCCTTGCACACCCGTGAGGCTGCAGGCGTTTGAAAGCCTCGTGGGTAGAGTCCTGAGTCTGACCAGTTGTCGCCATGTGGGCCCCAGCAAAGCTCTGAGTCTGCCTCAGTGGCCCCAGTTCTCTCCTCGACAGCCCCCCTCCCGGCTCCTGCCGGGATCCGCAGCAGTCATTGCTGAATGAGCAGTCAGTCCTGTACCAACCCACCATCCCTGTCCTTGCCCCGTCACCTGTGTCCACAATGGAGGCAACACCAGCAAATGTGTGTAAACCCATTTGGCAGACAGAATGCAGCCACCCGGCAGCTCACAGGCTGCCTGGCCTGCTCTCCGCTCAAGCCGCCAGTCAGTGCGTAGCTGCCTCGCGGCCTGTGCAGGGCCCAGAGGAGCATGTCCACGAGGAGCCGCCGCCACGGACATTCTTCTCAGCAGCGCCCTCTTGTGCCCGCATTGCCCGGTTCTGTGTGCAGGGGTCACAGCCGACAGGCGCTGGGAGGCCCAGGAAATAAATGACTTAAGAGAGATTAAGAGAGATTTCATCGTAAAGCCTGTGGTCCTCTTGGCGTATCTGTTGTTTTCCCATTCTTTTTTAAAAATTTTATTTTATTGATTTTTTTACAGAGAGGAAGGGAGAGGGATACAGAGTTAGAAACATCGATGAGAGAGAAACACTGATTAGCTGCCTCCTGCACACCCCCTACTGGGGATGTGCCTGCAACCAAGGCACATGCCCTTGACCGGAATCAAACCCAGGACCCTTCAGTCCACAGGCCGACGCTCTATCCACTGAGCCAAACCGGTTAGGGCTGTTTTTCCACTCTTGGGAGAGATATGGATATCATGAATGTCACTGTCTTCTTTAACATGAGCAAAACACCAGTGTGAGGAGATAACGCCTGATGACTGACTGGGGGCAGCAGGGAGCGCGGGGAGCAAAACAGTGTGAGGAGATAACGCCTGATGACTGACTGGGGGCAGCAGGGAGCGCGGGGCGCCTGCAGCGCAGCCCGGCCAGGCCCTGCTCTGAGGGAATGTGGCCCGTGCTGCCAGGTCCTCCGACTTTTTCAAGAAAAGCCAGAAATCCGGGTTGTTCTATGCTTGTTATTTTTTACATTTAAAATAATGAAGTGAAAGTCACATGACATAAAATCAGCCGCCTCACAGTGGACTCACACAGTCACAGTGCGTTCAGCGCCGCCTCCTCCTGTTCCAACGCTTCCATCTCCCCAGAGGGAAGCGCCGACCACCAGGCAGCCACCCCACTTCCCCGCCCGCGGCTCCTGGCAGCCACCGCGGCCGGCCTCCCTGGGCTTGCTCGGCCCGGACATCTCACTTAAACGGAGCCCCATTCCTCTCGTGGCTGCTGTCACTCAGGCAGTGTCTTCCAGGCCCACCCATGTTGCAGCCGGTGCAGGGCGCCGCTCCTGGTCCCGGTGAGAATGTTCCATTTCCTGGTCTGCTCGCACTCACCAGCCGGTGGCCATCTGGGTGGCTCCCATGGGGCAGTGTGAGCTGCCACAGGTGCTGGTGTACAAGTGTCCGCGCCCCATTTTCCAGGGTTTGAGGTGGATACCGAGAGGGCAGCGCGGGTTCCTAGGCAATTCTGCTTGTTTTTGCGAGGAGCCACCACACCGTTTTCCACAGCGGCTGCACCTTTCACACTCCACCCGCAGTGCACAAGGGTCTCGAGTCTTAGCATCCTGGCCAACATTGATTATAGTCCTTTCAAAATTATCATTATTATGTAGCCCTAATAGAGGGTGTCAAGTTTCTTCACAGTTTTAAGGTTAGGCCACCCGTCACTTGTCTAAGCGCTGCGGGCCAGTGCTGTCCGTGGGACACGGCAGGTTTGGGAGCTCTGCCCCGAGCGTGGGCCAGGCCACGCATCAGGTTTAATGTAAGGCAGGTGCTGGTCGCTGCCTGCCTCTGGCCTGGGCTGCTGCGGGCAGGTGGCCAGGTGGCCTCTAGCTGGCTTCCTGCTCCTAACACCCCCAGATCTGTGCCAGCCCCGACATCGAGGAGCTGCTGGCGGAAATGCAGAAGGCCCAGAGCCTCCTGGGCCACGTCCACGCCCTGCACCAGAGCGCCGCTTGCCCGGAGCTCAGCAGCCTGATGAAGGAGGTAGGTGGGCAGGAAAACTCTGGGACCTTCTCGGGAGGCTGCCAGCTGGCCTCGCTCCACTCTCCTTCCTCACCCCCCCATCCCCCCCCTCCTGGAAGTGAGAAGAGGCAAAGCCTCTCGCTCGGAGCTGGGTGGGCCCCGGGCCTCCCACTGTGCCCGAGGGGCCTGGTGGGTCTTCTAACTGAGAAATTGGGTATTTCCATCGCTCCTTCCCCCAGCGTGGCGCATGACGAACATCGCCACGCACAGAGTAGGCTGTCTGAGATGCCTCCCCAGCCCTCGCTCAGGGCCAGCGTCCTGCACAGCGACAGTTAACTTAACTTATCGAGGGCAGAACAGCACGTTCAGAATAAGCGCTCGGTGCTGCTTAGACGCTGCTCTGTGGACAGAGCGCTGCGAGGCGGCATCCTGGCCGGGGCAGGAGAGCAGCCGCCTGGACAGCTGCACGTCAGCCCAGCTCTCCGGCTGGTTCCCCAGAACCACCACGGCATCCAGTCATGACCACAGCGCTCATCTGCTGAGCACGAGGGAAGCGGGCGGGTGCTGGATTCTCTGAAGGACTTGTTTGCTCCTTCAGCGGCAGCGGATTGTCAGGCGTGTTACCAGCCCATCTTACAGATGAGCAAACTGAAGCCAGCAGGTTAACCAACGGCTCTGACTGACCCGGGTCTGCCGGGCGGCCACACCCTTGTTAGAGTTTCCCAAAGTGAAATGCATGTACTATGTGGGGTTCACAGATGATTGTAAGGCGATAAATAGATTAATATTTTTAACGTTATATATTTAAATCTACTCATCCATAGATCTTTCTAAAATTATTTAAGTACCAAAAAGGAGTCTGTTTTTGAAAGCAAATTAAATTGAATATTAGAACACTTGAATGCCATATGTTTAATTTAAAAATAAACTGGGTAGATAATAGCGCAGTGGTATTCAGATATAGCAAAATTCATGAGGACGATGCTCAGGTGTACAGTCTGGGAGTTGCTGTTCTACGTTTCACTTCTACCTGAGCTGTGTGAGTTAGTCTCTCAGAACCTCAGCCGTTCAGCTTATAAACGTGGGCAGAGAGGCTGGGCCGGACCCGAGCTTCCACGTGGCTGGTGCAGAGCTGCTTTGGGTTCCCTGAAGCCTGGGGTTGGGGCCGCGTCGGGGCCACTCAGCAGGAGGCCAAGGTGAGGACCCTAATGGATAAGGATGGAGAAGCAGCAGGAAGATGAGCGCACGGAAGAGGAAGTGAATTGTTGGGCACATCTTCCTCTTCCCCTGGAATTCCCAGAAATCTCCAGGAAGGGGGTGAGGGTGTGGATGGTGAGGCGGGAAGGCAAACTGTCTTTAATACGATGCCCCTGGGGGGGCTGTGGGTGGGAGACTGAATACTCAGCAGCTCTAAAGTGTGGCTATGTGATGAGGAGTTTTCATGTTAATTTAGATTTCCACAGAGATTGCCAAAGGGCCACTCAGAGATCTCCTGCCTAAACCCCCAAAGCACGAAGCTCCCCTCACAATTGAGTTCCCAAACTTGGACAAGACTTCTGCAGAATGGCTCAAGGTCAATGGCCTAAGAGGTAAATCCCCGAGGAGGGTGGGCCGAGAGCGAAGGTCCCTGACTCGGGCACCAGCCCTCTGGGTCTTCACGCGGTGCCCCAAGCCATCGTTTGTCCTTACAGCCAAGAAGCTGAGCCTTTACCAGGTCCTGGCGCCCAACGCGTTCGCTCCCATTGAGGAATTTGTGCCTATTCTCCAGAAAACGGTGTCGTCGACTATCCATGAGGTGACTCAGACTCCGGTCTCTCCATCCTCAGCGGGGAGCTCCTCTGTGGCTTCTCCCTTCATGAATGTTCAGAAACAAGAGTCAAGGCAGAGCCCGAGGAGCAGGGCCTGTGGGCCCTGAGCGGTCCCGGCTCCCCTCCCACCTGGAAAGGAAACGTGGGAGGTGGGGCAAAGGGAGGGAATTGGGAACCACCGTCCCTCCGCTGTGGAGGGGTTCCTCCTCCCCACTCAGAACACACTCCCTCTGTGTGTCCCCACTGTACCTGGCACAGACTCCTGCCATAGCTCCTTAATGTGTCAATCTGTGTATTTGTTACATGTCCAGATCTCACCAGATTATGAACCCTTTATTTTTTTAAAAATATATTTCTTTATTGATTTCAGAGAGGAAGGGAGAGGGAGAGAGAGATAGAAACACCAATGATGAGAGAGAATCATTGATCGGCTGCCTCCTGCACACCCCCTACTGGGGATCGAGCCCGCAACCCAGGCATGTGCCCTTGGCCTTGGTCGGAATCGAACCTGGGACCCTTCAGTCCGCACGCTGATGACGCTCTAACTGAGCCAAGCCGGCTAGGGCAGATTATGAACCCTTTAAAAGAAAAAAACTCTGTATCTCTAATAGGTAGTACAAGTCAGCAGTTAATGAATGTTTACTGGACGACTGAGTGGATGGAGGAAGGAAAGGAAGGATGAATGGGCAGATGGATGAAACTGTTGATGAATGCGTGGACACGTAGGCGGATGGATGGATGGATGGATGGATGGATGGATGGAGAGGAAGGATGGATGGGCAGATGGATGAAACTGTTGATGAATGCATGGACACGTAGGCGGATGGATGGGTGGATGGATGGATGGGTGGATGGATGGATGGAAGGACATGTGAACAGATAGAAGGAGAAATGGAAGGATGAATGACATGATAGAATAAAAAAGATAAAAGGATGAAAGTAAGGATGGAAAGATGGAGAAATGGAAGGAGTAATGAATGGAAAGATGGAGAATAAAAGAAAAGAGAGATGGATAATTCACTCAGTGGATGGATGAATGACCAGGCAGATGGAAGGATACTTTGAGACGTGGATATGACAATTTGGAGGAGGATGAAAGAAGAAGATGAACAAATTTGACTTCCAAAGTGTTCATGAAGGCCTATCTAGGTTCCCAAACCTAAGGCCCATGGCCAGGATGTTTTTAAGGTCTCTTACTCTATTATTAGCAAAACTTCCAACCATGTTTTATAATAAAGACTCCCGTGCTCAGGAGAGCCTCCAGGGTGGCAGCCTGCCTTGCTGTCCTGAGGGCTCTGCTGCCAGTGCCAGGCCGTGACCTGGGCATGGGGGTGGGCACATTCTGCCCCCAGAATTTTAAACTTAAAATCCTTCCTCACGGTGTGCTTCCATTCGCCTGCGCCCCTCCCGGCCACTCCGAGTGCAGAAGGCAATGGTACAGCTTCAGTGGCACGACGGGACGGTGAGGAATGTCCACGTGGACCTGCCCTTCCTCTATGAGTACCAGGTCGGCCCTGGGTCCGTCAGTCAGAGCATGGTGTGCGTGTGGGTGGGAGGGGGGAG